CATGTGCTCGCTCTCTTATAGGGAGGAAAATACACTGATTAGCCAACTTGAGCATTCTAGGCCACCTAAGTTCGATTTTTTCACGTGCACATAGCTTCTCTGTTGTCAAGAGGACATAAAAGGCACTGATACAGAGACCCACTAATGTCCCTCCATATTGCTTCAGCCCCTAGAGAAGGGCATTGGTGGGGAGGATTCAAGCACTTCTGTATATTCCTGAGCCCATTCCTGAGAGTCCCCTTGTCTTCTGTACTCTCCCAATAAGTAGCTTCAGGGGATCTTTGACTTCCCAGCAGACTATGCCCAAAGATGTAAATCTCTATTTACTCCCTTTCTTTGAACTGCATAGTATCAATGTAATCGATTTGCATAACATTTGCAATGCATGATATCTTAGGCCTTGTAAACTTTCTTTACTCTAAATGTCACTATCTAATATAAAATGCAGCTGTAACTTACGTTCTATACAATGCTCTGTTGGCCACATAGCTAATGTATAGGTACTGACAACTCTGGACTATAAAAGTGAACTGTAAAAGCCTAGAGAATGAGTAGAACCATTTTAGAAAGACCTAGAGTCTGGCTCTGCTCCCTGGATTCAAACTCAGAAATAAAATTCTTTCTACCAATTCCCTGCCCCTTTGATTTATTGGTATCAAGGGGAGCAGCTGAGCATTATTCGGACCATAACAGCACGGTATCTGATAGAAGAGATCTCCTACTTTTTTCATTTCCTAAGAAGCGTTAGTACTGTTGCTGAAGAACTATCCAATGACAAGTAACCCCAAACTTCTGCTCTCTAGATGTTAATTTCCTACTTGCTATTTCCTTTGCCAGGGACTTCCTCTGCTTCCCATCACCCCTGGCCTGCTAGACTTATAACACTGGGCTCCGTCCCTACAGTATCCTGGGTGCTCTTATTGTTTAACACTTATCACTGCATTACAATAGGAGGGAACTTTCAGTGATTATTTTGAAAGCCTGGGACAGTGCCTGACACAGAAAGAGATGTCAAAATTTTTTGTTTTTTTAACTAATGATGCCAAGATTTAAGTCCTGAATTTTCAGCTCTATCAGTTACTAGTTGGGTGATCTTAAGTAACTTAAGGTCAAGTAAGCCTCAGGTAATCTAATTCATTATATTTATTACTTCTAACCTTCACAAATATTTTTTTATTTTTTTGAGTTGAAGTCTCACTCTGTCGCCCAGGCTGGAGTGCAGTGGCACACTCACTGCCACACCATCATCTGCCTGCTGGGTTCCAGTGATCCTTCTGCCTCAGTCTTCCAAGTAGCACTACAGGTGCCCAATACCATGGCTGGCTAATTTTTGATTTATTGCAGAGACAGGTCTTGCCAAGTTGCCCAGGCTAGTCTCTAAACCGAAGGCTCAGACAATCCATTCACCTTGGCCTCCCAAAGAGCTGGGATTACAGGCTGAGCCATGGAGCCCAGCCTTTACAAATATTCTTTTTTTTTTTTTTTTTTTTTTT